ATATATATATATATATATATATATGTTCGTATATATTTCTATAAGACATTAACAATATGCTTTAAATTTAATTAAATGTATCTAATTTGTTGTTAAAAACAATTTTTATTAAAAATGGCTATATAACATGAGTAATTTTGAATTATTATAAATGCATTTTTACTTATTTTTATTATTTTGTATTGCAATATTTACAAAAAAATATTTACAAAAAAATTAAAATAATATTAATATCTTACAATTAATAATAACTAACACGATTCCACTAATATTTTAGGTTCTCGAAACTTGTCTGGAAATCGTGATGATTTCTACGACGAGTTAGAGTTTTTACTCGACGGACGTGGTCGACCCATTCAGGAGGATCCTTACGAAGACGATTTCGTGATTACTCATAGACGTTTCAAGGAACGTGCAGCCGCTGCGTTTGAGGAGGATATGGCGGAGTTGAGACGCAAGCGACGAGACATGCAGGTTAAACGAAAAAATGAGTCAATAATTGCAGAATATTAAAAATCAAATGCGATTTTTAAAAAATAAGCTATTAATAGAACATATTGTAAATGATTAATTCATTATAATTTAAGTTATAATATCAAAATTATATAAATTACAAATGCACTTCATATAAGTCGCACGTAATTCAGCGAATAAATTCTCCATATCACCTGTTCTTACGAATGTTTTTTATCGTATCTGGTATTTGTTTTCTTGCAGGATCGCATCTTCGATGTGATCGATCTGAATGCCGAGATAGAGAAGGCCAAGAGTACCCTGGAAGCCGCCGACATCGTGTTCCAGCGACACGCAACAAAGTTCGACAACCAGGGCGACGACGAGCAAACGATGTCATTGTCGCAGAAACTCGACAGAACGCGCAAGATCGCAAATGTTGAGCTGGAGAAGCCAAAGACCTTCCTGTTGAAATTGCCCAAGATGCCGGTCGAGCCAGAAAATGCTCAGCCCCCCGTCCCGGTAGGAAGACAATACAGGATCAACTCATTAATTGATACAAACGAGATTGGTGACCCACGGGAGGTTCTCGCGATGCAGCCGATAAAGCGAAGATTTTTGAAGAGAAAGAAAAGCGTCTCGTTTTAAGGTTCGAAAAAGCTTATCTGTCTGGCTACTACGGTGTGTGCAAAATCTATTAATATACTTTAAAGATTTTTTAATTTAGAGAATTTTTTTCTTTCTAGAATATTAGATTACCTGTGTAATTAATGATTGAATTAAAATTTTGTCTCTTCAAATCTAAATTATTTGAAAATTAAAATAGGACGAAGAATATACTTTTACTATCGATCACATTTCTTAGGATTCATTCCTGAAAATAATTTTTCATTTTTAATCGGTTTTTCATTGAAAAAGTACTCATATTTTTTTATGGGACAAATCTATTTCAGATTAATAAAAAAATATGTCTTTAATATATTTCCTAATAAGTCTAGATTGTCTAGATCTAGAATATTCGACTTTTCATTAACGTTATCGCAAAGCCGCATCTGAAATTCCGAAAATATTTTTAATAATTAAGTTCTTATAACATTTTGCTTATAGTTATTAATATATAATTGCTAATTTTGTTTGTTTACTTTTTTGATGATTATTCTTCTTTTATTTCTTGAAATATGCAGTGATATTCTTTGCAAGCAGATTATCATTTATGTATTTTATAATAGAGAAATAGTTTATGTGTGTATTTATAATAAATATTAAGTATTAAATAACCAATCCTTTCCTTTTTCTAAAAACTTTTTCATAAATAAAAATTAAATTAAATTATTAATTATTTAATAAATAATTAAATATTAGTTAAAAAAGAAAACACGTGTTAATACATGTCATGAAAATATGCGATTCATTCGAAAAATTTTTAAACTTTTAAAATGATGTTTAAAAGTAGAGCTATACAATGTTAATCTTTAATGGTACATATGCCAAGTAAGTGTACAAACATATATCATTTCAGCTGCAATCATTGCATTGCTGATTTCATCAATAGTGCCAATCACATTTGAATTACAATATTATTTATCTCACTAGTTTATACAAAACACCTAATAAAAATTATCTAATTGCAAACAAGAAATACAATAGAGACAATTAGAAAGACATTCGTCAAAAAATAAATATTGATGAAGATCTTGAGAGATTGTGTATACGTGAACAGATATGTGAAATTTCACTTGTCTTTGATAGTTGCCTTTTGACTGCTTTTAACAGCGGTCTGTGGATTCACAGAATCTTCTGGTATTTCAGACTATAGTAAGCACGAGTATGATAACTGTAGTGTCTGCCTGTGAATGTCATATTAGTGATGTACTTCATGTCGGCCGATCGTTTGAAGCTCTTGTCTGTGTTCTTTTGATCGTAGGTCCTTATAGTTCTTTCTGCCCACTCCTGAGCCCTGGGCGGCTCGCGGTATATACCCTTCTGCCTCGAATTAAGATAATCGATCACGTCGTCGTAATAGTTCTTCCTATTAGAAAGAAAAGATCATTCCGAGATTAAGAAATAATTTCGAGATTACAAACAATCTTCGTTCATTATCGTGAATTCAATATTTTATAACGTAATTTCACAATTATAAATTTATAATGCTTTGTTATATATATATAGGTATGTAAAATTTGTATTAAATTCACGTGTCTCAAACGAGCCATTCAAATTTATGCGTTTATTTCACATAAAATCAATATGTTAGAAGATAAAGATTATTTAAGAAGTTAAAACACAAACAAAAGTAATACTGACACAGTTTGTAAACAAAGCATGGAAGCATATTTTTTCCGAGATTGAAAAATTAACCTTTTGTGATATGTTAAATTAACATATATTTTATTCAATCATTTAAAAATTTACGTTTTAAAACACATTATTTTTATGTTATTTATTCGCCTATTTAGACAGTCTTCTGCTCTCAAAATATTTAAAATAAAGAAACTATTTAAACTAAAGCTCGCCGGTTTAGGCTATTTTGGCAAACGAAAAAATTTCTTTCGCGAAAGATTGCACACTATTTTTTAACGATCTGATTAATTTTATATTAACTTCTATATTTTTTATACAATTGTATTAATCATGCAATTAAAAATTCTTAGGCCCGGTTGCACCAACGTTATTTTGATTTTAAGCGAAACTTAAAACTCTCTCTATCTCGTTTTAAAACCGAAAAGAAACAGGGACAAAGAGAGTTTTAAGCCTCGCTTAAAATTAAAGTAACGTTGGTGCAACCGGGCCTTAGATACTTATGTATCTTCGTATCTTACCTATAATCGTAAAGATACGCGTAATTAAGAAACAGTGGTCGAACCCAGTGGTGATTGTAATGTGGCGGCTCAAGCTTTAACAATTTCAAGACAGGTTTCTCGGCGGCAGCTGCCTCGGCGGGCGCACCTTCCGCCGCACCCTCGGCACTCGCTTCCGGAGCAGGTTCCTCGATGTCCCACGGTGCAGCTTCTTCGTCCCACATTGTAATCTCGTTATATTATATATAATATTCACTTCGATAATGAACCTGCAAACAATTAGTTACAATATTAATTTGTAAATATTAAAGGATCCAATATATATAAAAAAAAAATTCGTTGAATTAAAAATAACATCTTGTTATTTTCAATTTTTATGTGTATTAAAATGTAGTATTTTAATACAAAACAATGATTAAAAGAATAGTTATCTAATCGACCTATTTTTATGCAAGTTGAATTGCGCTTACAATTAGTTTCAAAGTAAATTAACATATACACTTAGTAAATAATAATTACATTTGAGTCAAATTTAATACATTTCTTTAGTTAAAGTGTCTAACTTTATTGTTTTACAATTAATTAAAATAACAATATATTGAGTAGAGATGCAGAGGCGACCTATAGGAATGATTAAAAAATGACTTAACTTGAATAAAATTTGACATTACGAATTTAAATTGGCTTGATAAGTAATTAAAAAGTATTCCTTCATTTTCCTTTATCTATTTCATATCTGTTTTCTTTTTAATTTATAACATCAATTCATTTTTCGCAACGCTTCCGTTACTTCCTTAAACCTCGAGAGCATAATCAAATGTTAATTTAATTTTCGATAGGATTTATTTAGCCAATTGAGTATGTACATCGTATGAAGAAACGAGTCATTACAAGACACAACAAACCATTTGGCTGAGGTATCAATTGACTTGAGGTATTTGTGGCGAAACGAAATGCCATACCAATCTTCAAGCTGTGCTCAAATGTCTTGATGGCTTATATAAAATACCCATTCAATTATACTGTGCATCAAGAAATAGGACAGTGCGAAATAATCACGATTTGGGAAGCAATATTTATAACATCGTTTTTATTGCATCTTGATGGTATTATAATTTCTTTTAGCAGATGTACGAGATTATAAATGATCAACACTGTTAAATTTGTGATGTAAAATTATACACGATTTTGTGTAATTTTTAATCATTCCAGGAAATCACTGCTTCTATTTAATATGTCATTAATTTAATTCACACAAGAGATATACCTATTAAATTGACTTATTAAAGTTTGATTACCTATTATTTATAAAATGCATACGTCAAATGGACATTGTTTTGAAACTAAACAATTCAATACTAGGAATGGGTTGATGAGACACGGTTGTGGCTTTTTTAATCACATTTGTTAAAATAATACATTTTGGCACATGGAAGTAGAAATTAAAAAAATGTTATTTAATTCAAAGAATTAGTTTAACTGTAATATTTATAACAATGAATGACGTAAAGTCGAAAATCTCGTGTTCAAAGCAGACAATTTGTAAAAATCTAGAGATGCCGATTTCACTACACAGGTAATTCTATAAAAGCACGAATAACAAAAGGAAATCTCTCGACTTCACTACGGAAATTATTGTTCATTGTTCTCCATCGATGACGCAGCCTCCGAGGGCGCGATGCAGTACCTTCTTTGGTTTCACACTCGCGCGTATTACAAAAGAAGAAAAAAAAATACCCAGCCCTTCTACACGTTGCGGGCTCATCTCGTCACTCCCCGTGGACCCTGTCTTGTTTCGCTTTTATTTTAGCAACATCTCCTGCACCCCGCTCGTCCCTTCGAAGGTGCGCTCTTGCTGCGACGAGGAGGGGATGATTTGGCACGCGATTGGCGACGATTAATTAACGTTGCGACAATTTCTTTCTCTATCTCTCTCTTTCTTAACTCGTGTGTATATGTACATACACGTGCGGCGATTAGCTCACAGTATAATCTTGTGCTTCGACACTTGTCCTCGCGCCACTTCATTAACACACTTATTGACATTGAAAAGCAAAGATGATACCTTTAGCCAAGGGAATGGGAACGCCAGGCATATCGAAATCGAGTTTACCACCAAGTAAAATTAAAGTTATAAATTAAGTATATTTTATATGAAATAAAATTATAATGTCATAGAAGATATATCGATTGCTTTAATTAATTAATTAATTAATTGTCTGCCATACGCCACTTTCGTCGCTCTCATTCAGTTTATCGGTTTTATGTAACGTCATGAAACCTTGAATGTACGCAACGAAAGTTTATTGTTCAACACGTGGTTAATTATTGCTATTTATAAGCGAATTACACACTGTGGTCCAATTAAAGATCTGTGCATAGAATGATACATTATAATTATTCGGCAACAACATTGACACCGTACCCTGGTTTACTTACTATAAATCATGCGAATTGTAACAGAATGAAACAATTAGACATGCATGCGAACATGAGATGTACTTATATATATTTGCGACAATACAGTGTCTGGATAAATTTAATGTTTTATATGAAAAATGTGTAGATACAATTTAAGGAAATTTCTTATAAAATTATTTTATTACCACTATCTTAAATATATTATTGCAAAAAGGTAAAATTTTTTAATGTTATTTTTAGACATTTATTATGACCTGTTTGAAGAATTTATTAAACACAAGAGATGGTCAAGTTAAATAATTATTTAAATAATAAATAAATTATTATTCAATTATTTCTTAATTACATTGTAATTTAAGAATAACAGATATATTTTATTAGGTTATATATATATATACAATATTTGGGATAAAGAGTAGAGAGAATTGAAATAGGTGTCTTCGACAATTTCGAAATATCGTCAAAATTATCCGAGAAATATGAGCCATCAAGAGGTAACAAGCAGTGATGTACATTGGAACGTCAGCGATTTTCCCCTTCCATTCGTTCAGTCCTCTTGACTTCATCTGTCTTTCTCATCTTCGCTTAAAGCGAAAAGGATAGAGCAAGTGAAGGAGAAAAATCTCTGATATATCCAGATTCCAATATACATCACTAACTATTCGTTTACACAGCTGGATTTACGTCGAAGTTGTAACATCAATTTTATGATAATGGCCAATCACAGTCATCCCATTTTTGAAAGGAACAGCTATAGGTCTGTTTTTTATTACTACACTCTGAACCAGTGCAGCAATAAAAAAAACAGACCTTGATTAGCCAATTTCATCATTGATGTTAAATTTTGGCGCAAATCGAGCCGAGTAAACGTAGTCAATAGGTGTATCCAGAAGCACGACCGTCATTGAACGCTCAGTGAGCTTTTGTACTTGTTTGGTCTATATTTTTAGATCTAACGGAATATGCCGATCAGATGACTGAGCAGTCGTACTTTTGGATATATCTAATGACTGCATCTTGTGGACTCAACAGTTGAGTGGGGAGGATCCCGTTTGCCTACAATCCCAATTGCACAGGGGTGATCCAGATTGATCACGGCTCGATTAGACACCACCAATCACAGCGACCGATGCTTAAGAACTTTGTAGTCTCAAGCGCTGTTAGTGGCTCGTGTCCATTTGAGCCGTATCCAACTGGGTGCCACCCGTAGGAGCTATAGTAGGAGTATGTTGGAACATGTTGGAGCATGCGACGCGAACAAACCTTACTAGGTGTTGACCAATGAAATTAATAGTATTCTAGTAAATTCGCTCACTTTTGTAATTTTCACCTCGTTTCAAGATACAGGGGATCGATTCTGTATCTTGAAACGAGATGAAAATTACAAAAGTGAGTGAATTTGTTAGAATACTGATAATTTCATTGGTCAACACCTAGTAAATTTGATCACTTTTGTAATTTTCACCTTGATTGAAGATATAGTATCGACCCCCAGAATCAATCCCCTGTTCTCTGTTCTCTGTTCCTTTAAGTCCGGATCTACAATAGGGTTTTAAGCCTTAAGCCATAAGATATGGGCGAATCGCAGTCGCTTATTTTTCTCCGATTCGACTGTAATTGGTCAATTTCTTATGGCTTAAGGGTTAAAATACCTATTGTAGATCCGGGGTTAAGGGCACTCTACAATGCGTTGCAAACAACTGTTGCCAGCTGAAATGTTTGTCTCGGCAACCAATCAGGAGCATAAATAGTACCATTAACGCTTCTATTTGATTATCGCGACAAACGTTTCAACTGGCAACGGGTGACACGGATATTTGCAACGCATTGTAGAATGCCCTTTATTGTGCGGAGCCCCTAAAGGCCGCAGCACAGATTCTTGCATAACACATAATGCATAGTGCATAAAGGAATCAACCAATTGAAATTCTTCTTTTCCATGGAATGGGAGGAAAGGAACGATTCTGATTAGTTGATTCGCTTATGCACTATGCATTATGCGTTATGTAAAAGCTTGTGTCTGGGCTCTTAGGGCTATCGCACATGAAATGCATAACAGAGCATAAGCATAACATAAGACTGCTGAACCAATGAGCATCTAGCATAATGTCGCCATATTGATTTACATAAGATGCTCATTGGTCCAGCAGTCTTATGTTATGCTTATGCTCTGTTATG